TCCGCATCATCCGCATCATGTGCATCAGGTTTTAAAGAGGCCGCGCTGCTTTTAAAGGTGCAGTAGGAGAATGCTAACTTTGCTAACTTTAGCCTGATAGCACTGAAAGCCAATGTCCCACCCTCCCTGCAATCTCCATCCAAGGCCACGCCCCCTGAACGCATTTACACTCACAGATCAGAACACCAGAGACAACATTACAATAGGCTACATCAGCGGTTCCCAATTCCAATCCTCACGCCCTCCTGCTCTGCACATTTCATATGTATCTCTTGCGACGTGCGACGTTTGTTCTATTCGACCGTGAGTGCCCTGGGAAGTGTACATCACCGGATATTCCGTCCAGTTCGAAGTTCCAAGCGAGCGTATATGTTCCATACAAACTAGTATTTATTTAAATAGAATTTAAATAGTATTTATTTAAACAGGTATATTATGTCACACTTCTCTAGTAAGTTTCGTCTGTGTGTGAAGACGCTGCGCTTTCCCCTGCTTCCCTTGCGCGAGGACTGGAATTGGGAACCGCTGGGCTACATCATGTGTCATTCACCGGTGAGAAATCTTTATAGTACAGTTAGTAAAAGTACTACAATACCATGAAGGAAGATCGGGTTGTTGATGTTTGTCTGCCATCCTCACTCTGTCTGCACAGCGTGCGTGAACATGCTGATGACGTATCGTGTCTGCGCAAACAGGGTACGCAGAGGTATGCAAATACATATGTTGACAGGCAGGTAGGAAAGCCAATTAAAACGCTCGGACCGAGCGTTTTGATTGGACGAACATTTCTTCGTCCTACGCCTTCCACAGAATATATAAATACAGATAAATACATTTAGACCACTTAACTTAATGATTGCTATTGGGATGTGAAGAGACTTTCAACCAACATAAAAATGTTTCTGAAGACAATCACCTATTGCACCTTTAAAGTAAAACCTGCTGAAGTCTGTCATTGATGTAAATCAAAGAACAAAAGAAAAAGAGAAATCACTCGACTGCTCTAGTCGCTGATTAACTTTTGTAGCTTGAATAAAGATTAATCTGTATAGTTTATGCATATACAATTTATAGTTTGTGAAGATTGTTTTAAAATCACTTAATATTTCAGAGCCTGTTAAATGTTAAAAATAATGGCTTTCAATTATACTGAAATGTTGAATGACTATAATTAATAGGTAAAATTGAGGGAAAATGTATTTAATAGAGACAGTATTGTCTCTACAATACAGCAGTATTGGTATCAATACTTCATTAATAATATACTACTTAGTAAAAAGATGCCATTTAAACATTTAAAATATACTATCTTTATAATGTTTCTACATTCATTTGGAGGTTCAATGTGAAATTGTGACTATAAATATGCGATTAATCATGATTAAATACAGAAAAATGTGATGAATTTTTTTTTTTAATCGATTGACAGACAGCACCTAATGTTTCCGATTAAAATGTAATTTCTAATTTTATAGGTCCCCCCAGAAAGAGATCGGAACGACCCCCATCCCCTTGGCCCCCTTCAAATTTTCAGTTTGATAATTCGGCCCTCAAATGAAGCTAATTATATAGCCCTGCTCTAATCTGTTAACATGTATGCGGAAAAAAATACGCACCACATACACACTGCAAACTGAGTACGTGTGAAACGGGTGTAACGCGATGGCCTGCTCCGTTTGCCGAACAAGAATCTCAACGTTTTTTTAGGGACAAAAAATATATATATACAGTGGGTACGGAAAGTATTCAGACCCCCTTAAATTTTTCACTCTTTTTTATATTGCAGCCATTTGCTAAAATCATTTAAGTTAATTTTTTTTCCTCATTAATGTACACACAGCACCCCATATTGACAGAAAAACACAGAATTGTTGACATTTTTGCAGATTTATTAAAAAAGAAAAACTGAAATATCACATGGTCCTAAGTATTCAGACGTATCTGTAACTACTTACCCAGAATAACCTCTGGAGCTCGGTAATGTCGAGTGGACACCACAGACGTGTGATGCTCATGCTCGTATGTTGCATTCCCAAAATCAACTACTTTCACATCAGGATTCATCAGCGTTCTCTCATCCCTCTTCTACAATTTCAAACAACACTATTAATTAATGCACAATCAGTTCTGTTTTTGTTAATTAAAACTTTTGAAAATACTATGAAATATCTAAGATTGGGCTGAACTGAAATATATTTAATGAAAAATGTAAACAAAAATTAGAAAAGTTCCACTAGCAACTAACTGAAATAGGTTTAAATTGAGTTACTACAATTACTAAAACTAATAGAATTTTTAAAAATAGAAATGTGTTCTATAAAACCTAATGAAATTACAAAAACACATACATTTTTAAAATATTAAATATTTAAAGAACACAAATAATACTGAACGGAGTCAATGTCTCTCCTTACCATTTTTGGATTGTACTTGATGTCAAACTTTGAATTAATAAAGAGGATGTTCTCTGGTTTCAAGTCAGTGTGTGTCAGCTTATTCTTGTGAAGAACTAAGACACAAAGAAGCGCAAAATATTACATCAATGTTTTGTCCAAAATACACAGAAAAAAATGCATTCAAGCAAGATCCGTGACTCACATCTGACTGCTCTGATGATCTGGTAGGCCATGTGCCTGATGTGGTTCATAGAGAAGGGCTGAAAGATATTTTCCTTCAGAAAATCATACGTGCTCAAGCCCAGCAGCTCAAAGGCAATGCAGATGTGTCCGTGGTGATCAAACCAGTCATACATCCGCACACAAGCACTGGAGAAAGGAAAAATAGATATGAAATACTGCATTCCTAATATGTAGTCTGGATTTCTATACACTCTGTAAATTTCAAATTAAGTGTGATATATTACACAGCTATGCATCACAGAGGCATAAATTACTTAAGATTTCTTTCTTATCTGCTTTCACAGGCACTTACTATCTTCTGTCACAGTCAAGTGAGTTAATCTGCTCCAGCACCTCAACCTCAGACACAGCCGCATCACGATAGCGCTCAATGTTTTTAATTATCTTCAGCGCAATGCGAGCTCCTCCCCTGAAATAAGAACATACAGTAGTATCATGAACATACATGAGAACACAAATGCCTGCACTTATTATCAGACACTTAATCAACCAAAGCATTTCCCGAAAAACATTTAAAGGGGCCATATGATGCGATTTCAATTTTTCCTTTCTCTTTGGAGTGTTACAAGCTCTTGGTGCATAAAGAAGATCTGTAAAGTTGCAAAGACTAAAGCAGCACACCTCGCTTTTTCAGACCGATGAGCTTTGTAAAAATCGACGCGTTTCAGGAAGGCGGGGCATAGAGGAGAAACAATAATGTACAGTATGTGGAAAATAATGTGTTTTTAACCGCATAAACACATTTCATTACACCAAATACACAAAATACTGTTCTTTTTAGCAGCATCATATGACCCCTTTAACATTTAAAGCTGTCATAAAATAAATTATATTTTCTAAACGCATATTGCCGATCTTGAAGGACTGGTTAACCCAAAAATGAAAATTTGCTGAAAATGTAATAAAAAAAAATATATAAAAAAAGCGGAATCTTCGGGTGAAGCGGCATATATTTCAATAATCAGTTTCATTTTAATGTATGCCACAATACAGAAGATCTGTTGTTATTTCCATTTAATTGCAACCTTTAAGTATCAGATTTGAGAAAGTGTTATAATCAACATGGGGGTCTTGGGGAGAGCAATACATTTTAACTAGTGGTCGACCGATATTGTTTTTTATATTGTTTTTTTGAAAGCAGGGTGGCCGATGGCAGATATATAAAGCCGATATAATTGTATTTATTTTAATTAATATTTAAGAAATTGAAATCATTTGAAAATGGATAAAAAAATTAATGTGTCAAATAAACACACTAATACTTTAGATGACAAAATATTTTCCACAAATAAAGAAATATTTAAAGGGATTGCGATTTCACTTTTTTAACGTTAGTTAGTGTGTAATGTTGCTGTTTGAGCATAAACAATATCTGCAAAGTTACGAAGCTGAAAGATCAATGCAAACGGAGATATCGTCTTTTAAAATTCTGGCAGTTTAATGCCTACAAAAACGTTTGGTAGGGACTACAACGAGTTACTTCCCGGGTTCGTGACATCATAAACCCAGATAAACCCCGCCCTCGGGAAAAGGCAGCAAAGGGGGAGAGGCCTGCGCTGCTTTAGAGAAGAGGAAGCGAAAACTAGAGGTGCATGTAAAAATCTATTCATATATGAATCGCGATTCTGTCTTCTAACGATTCTAATGGATTCACAAGTTTCAAAATCTGTGTTCTAAAGCAGCAGTTCTCAATACTGTTCCTCGCGTTCCCTGCTCTTCACACGCTCTGCATCTCTCTCTCTTTATCTCTCTCTCATTCAGCTCAGCTCCAAAAATTAACTGTTACAATTATACACTTATTTTCACATAGCTATTGCGTCTCAATCGGGCTCAAACTGATAAGTGATATTAACGACGCCTTGTTAACAATACAACCAGAGCACATGCTGCTGAGGTGAGGGGCGGGACGCTTAGATGCACTAGAGGTGGTTTAGCCAATCACAACACACTGGGCTAGCTAACCAATCAGAGCCCATCGCCTATTTCTGAGGGAGGGGCTTCATAAAAGAAGGAAATGATCAGCGTGTTTCTCAGAGAAGGG